TACCTGTGTCTGTGCTGGATTTTCTCTCCTTGCTTGGCTACTTCCCAATTCAGAAGTAATTATCACCCCCACACAGCCCATTACGGTACAGAATTTTAAATCCAATCAAATTGTTCCCCCTGTCAAATTATTTCTCACTCCTAAACTTCCTAATCAACTCTCACAATTAGCTCCCGTTGCCTCATTTTCTTTGATTGCTTTGCTGCTGCAGAGGGGTCAGATGAAAAAATCTGGGGAAAGAGCAGAGGAACTGAAAAACCTTCTATATCTTTACCTGTCAAGAAAGAGTTATTTGGGGCCTGTGACTTACAGACTTTTAGCAGGAACTAGGCTGTGGCTAGGGCTGTTCCCTCTTCTAGGAAAAGGAAGTAATAAAAGGGGCAGGAAAGCTGAGCAGGATGACGAGGTAAGTAAACCAGCTCATACCATTGCCAGTTACTGCATGTGCTTGGACCAGATCTTCTCCACTTCTCACCTGGCAAGAATCAGGCATGGCACCGGTAGACACCCTTGTGTCACACTGTTAGCATGAGAGGAGGAAGAAGATTAACAGTGTATAATTTTTTCCCTGCTGAAAATAAAAGACCATGTAGTAGATTTCCAATAATTGTTTAAATACTCGTGGCCTCCTGCTGTGTGCCTGATATTCTGCAGCTCAGCTTTCCGTTTGCTGAGCCAGCAGTCACAGCTTAGACCTGCCCTGCTCTGCCATGGGGTGGCACGGAGCATCAGGAGGTCCGCAGCACTGAAGGCACTTGTGGGCCTTGGGCAGGGCTTCCCAAGAGCAAATCAGAGCAAGAAATGGGCTCTGACAGAGAACAAGATTCATGGTTGGAAGAGCTTGACTTGTCCCCATGGGCAGGAGGGGTGCTCCTGGAGAGCAGAGTTATTTTCTTGTTGACGACTCAGAACTTCTGCTAAAGTCATGGGGGGTTCGTGGTAGAAAGAGGGTTAAAAAATGACACTGTCATAGTACATGACCTTAGCAGAAAACAGAGAGTCAACCCTGCATTCTGGTTTAGGAGCTTGTTAAAATTTCATACTACAGTGGCTGACCATTCTGACACTTTTTCATGTGGCTGCTGGTTTTTTTTGTTGTTGTTGTTGTTTGTTTGTTTTTCACATGAAATTCAAGGATCTATAGCCCCTAGTTTAGTAAGGTAGATGAACACATTTACAGCATGACTTGCAGGTCAAATGCTTAAAGTTACCTACCCACTTCAGCTGTTGTGCTGATTTAACCACAGTGGCTTTTGTTCCCTCGGTGTTCCTTGTTCCCTTTCTTCCTCCTGGAGAAACAAATGTACTGAGTCACTGGGGAGGGCACTGCAGTACTGGATTGCTTTACAGGCACACACAGAGGCATCAAGTCATAGGAGGCATGTCTTGGTGTCCATCGAATGACAAAAGAGTCACAGCACTGCAACTGGGACGTGTACATTTTAGCAAGACTTCTAGGCACATGAAGCCCTGCAGGAAGCAGCCAGTACGTATGGAGCAGTGCTACAGCACTTCTCTCCATCCTGGATTTCGGAGAAGCTGCTCTGCAGAGATCCAGTGGGCATGCAGTAAGGGTTATCACAGAGATGTAGAAAGGCTTTGTAGCTGCGGCGATATCTGTGCCAAAAGTCAGGAGCAAAAGGAGATGGAAATAATCTCTTGTAGGGTGGAGGTGGTGACCTCATCCCAGAGACTGTCTTCATCTCAACCGACAAGTTCTTGTACTTTTACCTTTCTGATTCTCTCCCCATCCAACTGAGGGGAGAGGGAGTGAGCAACTGTGCGGTGCTGAGCTGCCTGCTGGTGTTAAACCATGACAGACTCCCTCCTAAACTTTAATCCCTTTCTTCAGATCAGGAAACAATATGTATTATAAGCACAAATTCAGATCTGCCATTGAACACACCTGCTTGTATCCCATCAGAACCAGAAGCAAAGGGATAATCTAATTCAAAACATGCCTATATTTGTGCATTTTTTGGTGGACACATCTAGATTTTTTCCTACATTGTTATTCTCCTGTTGTGTATTTATACCACCCTGTGGGGTTCCCATTAATACCACCAAATGTTCATCCTTGAGCAGTTACAGTAACTGCACAGGACACAGCAAGGAAACCTATTTATAGTATATTAAATCGGAAACTTACATGGTAACATGTTGTAATTCAACAGTGGATTTAAAAAAAAATGCAAACAACAAAACAGAGGAAACCAATATAAAAGCTAATCTAAAATTACATTGATTTTGTTTGAAGGGAAAATAGGAAAAGATAGGAAAATCGATGACGCTATGTGTGTTCACTGTAGGTAGACCTTAGTTTTGAAAAAAAAAGTCAATAATTACATAACATGCTTTTTTTCTGAGTGGATTATCATATTAGATATTGCCCCTCTTTATTACGAGCCAGTGGTGAGGTGAGTTCAAGTTCTCAGTCTCTGTTTGCAGACAGATCAGCAGTTGGTTTAGTAGACCACTACAGGTAATTCAGGTTTGACTTGGAGAAGTTTTCCAGAAAAGGTCGTTGCTGTTGGGTTGTCAAACTGCTACCAAGCTGCACTGGGAGCTCCCAGTCATCGTCTGTGTAAAGGAGGCCAATATTTGCCCGTAGCTTCAGACTAATGTTCTCTCCTGTCTCCAGCAATGCCACCTGAGGATGGTATTGCTTCTGCTCATGGCTCTGCTGGGGCTCGCTGTCGCCTACTACCTGGAGGTATCTGTTCATCTGCCCACAGCTCTGCTGTCAGCTCTCTCTGGCCTGTTGTGTGAATATTGTTTTGTATTCATTTTCTGTAACAAGATGACCCCACCAACATCTTCTCCTGAAGCAGGTGAGGGGGTCAAAGCCACGTCCACTGGCAGAGCTGGATCAGTGGCAATGGTAACTTCTAACACAGATGTGGTGACAGGCAGCAGGGCATGGTACTGTCTCCAGACTGTAAAGCTGTTTTCGAAGGGAACATCTGTGTGTATATATATGCATATATGTGTGTATGTTTTACAGCCTGAGCATTTCTCCTTTAAAACAGAAATGACTCATAGTTCACAGTGAGCAGACCCACCTTAGTTCCTAGTAAAGTTGCAGTTTCTGCCACTGTCGAAGTAACACAATGACCCTTTTTCTAAAAAGACCTCTTTGAAGTCACCACTGTGACTGTGCAGAAGGGTTAAGGAGTTGATTCTGTTTTTCTAGCCCAAGACAAACATTTTCCCTGGACAAATGACTCTCCTTCCAATGTCTTTCTTACGGGATGTCTGAAGAATGAAAGGAGGATAGAGTTATTTTTAGCCTGCCTATTTCCTCTAGCTGTGTTATGAGTTGAAAGCCTTCCTTCATGATTTCAGCATAGGTAGGGTAACTAGTTTAGTTCTAGAGTTCTCCAAAAGAGAGGGATTTGCAGTCATACCATATTACATGCTTATGACAATACACAGGAAAACTTGCATGACTCAGAAATGTTTGCCAATATTTAAGGGGACTTGCCAAACATTAAACAGATCCCTTTTACAACTTTCTGATTATTTTTTTGCAGTCCAGATATTGCTTTTTATGACTATTCTTACAATAAGACATCTCTTTTTCTGCCTAGAGCTCTTCTGTTATATGCGTAAGCACTTATTTAGTGTACATCTTACAAATTACTTTGTTTCTACTCAGTGATTAAATTGTTAAGTTGGATGGATATGATAATATCTCATTTTGCCATCAGATTAAGTTCCGCTGTTATTTTCATTCTCCGTTCAAAGAATATTTGGTATACTTATTTTTGGCAGTGTGCTGAAACCTAAGTCGGTGTTACTTAATTTATAACATATCCTTAATATATTCTGGTCCATTAAACAAAGGAATGTCTTTGCATCCTCTTCCACAGACAAATTATAGCACTATTTGAGTGTCTGTATTTGGAATGCTCTTTAGCTCTAGCCCACGTAGGACATTCCCATCTAGGTTCACACTCCCATGTAGAATCTGGATAGCTATGCTGCAGTGGTTCATCTTGTGATTGCTTTGTGGAACAAGCTTAAATTTGAACTAACAAACGAAAGGTACAATTTTTTTTCCTGCACTTACTATCCTTATCGTTGGGTTGCAAAAGGAGAAACAACCAAGAAATGCCAAAAGCAAGGACATTTGCTGCATGCCAGATGTATGACTGCCAAGAACCCAAATATGTAAAAGGCAGACAATTGAATAGTCAAGGACATCTTTTAATATAAAACAACAACAACAACAACAACAAACATTCCAAATACCTTAATTTTTGTATTATTAGGAGCTTGGGTTTGTAAAATAATGTAAGAGAGAAGAATGTCGTCACTACTCAACAACTTTAGGACATATATGAAAATAAAAAAGGTCTTATTCTTTTGATAAAAATGTTTAATATCTATACCTACATATTGGTGTATATATATACTTATTATTTATGAAAAGAAACTAGTTTTTAACTAGCAGCTGGCAAATTTCATTCCATTTCCATTTCTTTTCAGAGGTTTTCTTATGCAGTGCAGTTAAGCTGCATTGACATCTTTGTCAGGGGTCCAGTTTCTAAAAGGTACTTAGGCAACTTTGACATCAATGGGAATTTGTTACCTAAAATATGATAGAGGATCTAGACATAAACTGCTCACAAAACATACAGGGTGAAGCCATGCAGCCATGCTTCACCTCCACTGAATTTGCTGGCATTCCATCATTTTCAAACAGCATAATTTTGTCTGATAACTATTTGCCACAGCTGGGGTGGGGGTGGGGGGCAGAGAAAGAGAGAGAGAGAGAGAGAGGGAGAGAGAGAGAGAGAGAGAGAGAGGAAGGAAGGAAGGAAGGAAGGAAGGAAGAGAAAGAAGAAAGAAAGAAAGAAAGAAAGAAAGAAAGAAAGAAAGAAAGAAAGAAGAAAGAAAGAAAGAAAGAAAGAAAGAAAGAAAGAAAGAAAGAAAGAAAGAAAGAAAGAAAGAAAGAAAGAAAGAAAGAAAGAAAGAAAGAAAGAAAGAAAGAAAGAAAGAAAGAAAGAAAGAAAGAAAGAAAGAAAGAAAGAAAGAAAGAAAGAAAGAAAGAAAGAAAGAAAGAAAGAAAGAAAGAAAGAAGAGCAAGGGAAAGGGGAAGCAGAGAACAAGAGCAGAGTGCTTAAATGCCAGAGAAAAGGGGAGTCAGTTCTTGGAGGACTGGAAAAAGCTGCAGAAGAAGGAGTAGGAAGAACCCCCAGTACAGTCAAAGAGAAGTTCCTACAAGACAGAAGATGAAAAATAAAATTTCAAATGTTAGCAATTACTTTCAGGATGTTTTCAGCCATTACTAGTGTGTTGTCATGGGTAGAAAAAGGTGTCACAGCATCAAAGGAACCAAGGAATGTAATGAAGAAAGAAATTAGAAGAGTAATTTGCATCTATTTGGTGGTATAATCTTCAGAGGCACTTTTGTTAATTGGCAGGCTTGGGCTGTACATATTAGAATACTCAGAGTCTGGTGGAAGTCTCCAGAGGTTTTGCTCTAGGCAGCAATTTGGATGGCCACAGAACATTTCTATAGTCTTGCAGTTTATCAGCAAAATGAGTTATTTTTCCTTCATCGCTTTAAACTTGACAGTCAAAAAGAAAAAAGACCAACTTCTTTCAGAAGCCTGTTTCTTTGAGCAAACAGAACACTGAAAAGCTCATCTTTTCTTGCAGGACTTTTGATAAGATGATGATAACAGCATACCTCTATTCACTGGGGTGTGACTATCAGTGTACCTAGTCTTAGCTGTGAACATTTGTTCTTCTCTTGTGTTGTGTTTTTTACTCCTTTTTCTATTTTCCTTTTACGAGTGTTTAGAGGTCTAGATATCTGTTCTGAAATAAGTAAATAAATAAGTAATATATAAAGAGACAGAGGGAGTAATCCCCTGCTTCACAGAAGTCAATGGAGACAGAACAGCAGCAAATTTAGTGCACCTTCTGATATTGTTTGTCATTTCAGGTATTATTTAGATTGAGTTTTATTTATTACTAGCATCTACAATTTCCAATGGCAAAAGTTGAGCACTTAAATCCATACCTTATATGAATGAAAAAAAAAAAAAAAAAAAAAGTCTTTGATATTCAGAGACTTTACATGTATCAGTTTCTCTTAAACTGAGGTTTGAGTAAAACCAAATTTGTTTTCCTATCTATTTTATTTATTTATTTTTAAACTAGAGGCATAGAACTTTTCTTCCCTTGTGCAGACACTTCTCCAGTTGTAAGGTTTTTTTTTTTCCCATTCTTTCTGCTTTTTATTTCCTTCATCTGGGACTTTTTCTGTCACCAGGTTGTCCTTTTCCCTGGGTGTGCCTCCTGCTTCAGAATATACCATGTCTCTGCCCATTCCCTGAGCTCCCAGCTCCATTCATTAGCTGGGTAATTGCCTGCAACTATTTCACCTGAAAATGTTACTTTCTTCCAGTCCAATCTCTTATCGCTGCTGGAGCCAAATTGAGTTATAAGGTCTAAAATTATCCCTGAGGACAACTCTGCTGAGGTAAATACAGTGGATTTAACTCTGTATTTTTCCTTATATATCAACGTTTATTTTTAAAAATCTCAGCTTGAACATACTTGTTTTCAAAATGCATTTTAATTGAAAAGTATGAACAGAAGAGCTTGTTCATTCCGTTTGACTAACACCTATTCTTTTCACACAGCAGCTGTACCAAATACAAAATTTTTTAATCAAAGCGAGCAGACTGCTATCACAGTTTACTTGCTTTTCCTCTTATTACTGATCTTTTGCTGTAACCATGGATCTACCTGAGTTTTGTGTGTATTAAAGTTGTGTTGTTGAAAAACTGCTGAACAAATTTGCCTGCAACAGTCTCAGATGAAGATTTTTCAAAGGATGTGGCTGAAACAAAGAGGTATACACCATTCCATAAATAAACCCTCCTAAGTGTAAATTGTGACCATCCCTCTCTCCATCTGAACACTTCAAGCTTTTCAGAAAGTTGCTTTTATGTAAGATTAGAGAGCTGTCTCCATGACATGATGCTTTGCTTCTCTTCACCATTAGTTGGGCGTTAGTTGTTCTGGCTCTAAATAGACAGGCACAGATGGTACCACGACTCTCCGAGCCTCCACACATCTTGCACTGCAGGGATTTTTGTTATTCTTGTTATCTCTCTAGCAGCTCCTACTCTTTCCTAACAGTTTGTTGAGAAGAAAAGGGAAGGCTAAAGAACAATCAGTCCCTTTCCTCTCTAGGATTGATGAAGCCTTTAGACAGGATTTCAGCATTCATTTTGACTTTATTCTTTGTTAGGGGAACCCAACTATGGGATCCTCAATGAAGTAAATTTTCTGCCAGCCTCGCCAGGTGAAGTCAGTCCTCCCTGAGAATGTTGATCAGAACTAGATGCCCCAATGGCATTAAACTGCAACACTCGAACAGCACATGGACTCTCTCTGCATATCTTCCCTTAGTGCCTTGCAGCTCTGATCACTACACACCGCAAAGAAACATGGCAGACTTAAATCTTGAAGCTTATATCACAAAAGACTGCCTTGGTGCACAAGAACAGTGTTTGCAGGGAAAACACCACAGGTACAATTAGCAGCACTGAATCTGGAGACAGGATGAATAAGAAGGACATGACAGAATCGTAGTTCCACCAGCGCACGTCACAGAGAAGGTAAATTGGGTGATCCACTTTAGTCTTTCGTATACCACAAGAACAAGATGTTAACTCAAAGGCAGCAAATTGAAATCAGATAAAAGGAAATCAATTGTATAAAGAGTACAATTAACCTCCTACAACAACTACTGGAGCCAAGAACTCAGCAAGCTTCTGAAAAGGACTGGATGTTTGTATAAACGATTTAAGTATTTGTTTAGTATTTTCTTTGTCCCATCTTATGTGAGCTTGTAAGCTTCTGTGTCTCTAGAGAAGACAAGTTACTAGTGTCTGGGTAAGAAGTCTCCCTTCATTTCTAGCAGACAAATCTCCTATTTATTTCCTCATAGGTTCTCCATGATCTTCCTTTACAATGTTGGTGAATGCAAGCAGTCAGTGACATGGCAAGAGGTGGACTGGTCACCTGCTCCTTGACAGTAGTTTCTGCATTGTCATATGTGAAGCTACAAATGAGAAGAATAGTGGTAAGTATTAACTGGTATGTTCATGAATAGGTCACCTCTGTCCTGGGCCTCAAACTGTTTATATAAATGTATATAAGGTACCCAAAGGGCTTTACCTACCAAAGCCCTTTAATGATATAGCATATCCTTATATCGGTACTGCTCCAAAACAAAAAATCCCTCCCCTTAACATGGGGGTACACGCCTGCACATCAGCCCTGGGTGGTCCCCAGAGACCTGTGGGCAAGCAGGAGCGGTGTCAGTGTGTGATCCAGGTGGGCCAAGACCCCCATGCACAGGACTGCTCTTCCAGTGCTGCCCTGCCCTGCTCTGGGGAGTTTATTTCCATCTGTATTTATCAGCCCAACACAGGCCCTGCCTTAATCAAGACTGCAATATCCTGTAACAGAGGACAGGGCTTGCTGGAGAGGAGGGTGTGATGAAAATAGTGCACAGAAGGGACATCATGGCTCACCTCTTTTTTAATGAAAGGCCTGACTGAGAACCGTCTATCAAAAGGTCTAGACACCTAAGCGATAGATGAATTTCCCAGAATTGCAGTGTTTCAACGAGAAAAAACAAAAGCACCTTAATATTAAATAGAAGCTATGAATGTCATGCGGAAATCTATGACAATCTCAAGAGGAAGCAGTTGAAGGCACAAAAAGCCTGATGAGATTATAAATAAAATTATATATTGCATTACACCACGCTCCCGCAATTCATGTTTCCTCTGCTGTTCAGTACAGATTGCTGTCAGTTCGCCACTTATCTGCTGCAGACTTTGGCTATCTCTTAGTTCCCTCATAAATGAGATAGTTTGGACACTGACATGTAAAAATGGGGTGTTTCTCAGTACTTTGCGGATGCCAATGTCTGTGGCAAATCTGGGTGAAACCCTGCCTGCGTGCATGGTTCATGATATGCCAGAGTGGGCTGGAGGAGGCAACTGGAGGCAGTTCTTCTTTGCGAGCATGAAAACAAATAAATATATAATTCACTTGATCAAGTTGGTGGCCATAGGTTTGAAATCTGCAGAGTGGTTCTGCAGGTAGTCAGTTTGTTGAGGCTTTTCTGCACCAGTTTTTGTGGTGACTGCACAGTCGCTCCTGGGGAAGCCCAGAGATGCTGGAGATCATGGGAAAATAGCTGATTCCCATGGTCTTGGTGCCTCCAAATGAAAACCATCTGCCTTCACAAGAATGTGTGCTTTAGCTGGACACACACAGTTAGGATCAATACAGAGTTGCAGAGGGAAATTTACGGACATCAACATCCAGTGTAATTTAAAAGCAGGTCTATGAGAGACTGTACTCTCTTGCTTGTTTGTTTGTCTCACCAGCATGTCCCAGCTTGTCTTTCAGAGCTGGAAAAAAGCCTCTCATTTACCATGCAATACCAGTACAGGATGGGCCCCCAACGAGGTTATCCTAGGAAGCTGTAATGGAAGTTTTTAGTATTTCTGGCTTCTTTCTGATTTCTGAACACCGGGTTCTGCTGACGGATAGAGCAGGGCTTTAGAGCCAGGTACACATCTACCACTTAAACCCTAACGCTTTGCCACTGAAGTGAGCTGCTTGCAGGAGTTGCTAGGTAACTGTAACCTTCTCATAGCTTGCTCATGTGAGCCAGCGAGATAATTCTGATGATGTCATGCTTCAGGTTTGTATTTCATCTGCTAAAAGAGTTTTCTCTTAATTTCTACAGGAACAGGTGCATGGAGGAGTTCTTCAATGAGTTCGAACTTCCCTGCTCCATCATGCTTGTGCAGCTTAATTTCACCCTTGCAAAACACTGTAATAACATAAAATTGGCCAGGGCTCCTCCAAGTGTGATTTTAGGAGAGTAGTTCTATCTGTGCAAGCCTCTTACCTCTTCTAGACACCGACTCAAGGGCTAACTCCTTGGAAACATAGACATCTTCATCAACTACTCTGCTGTGTGTATCTGAACAAAGCAAAGGCTTCCTCAATAAAAAGATAACAGGAGTTTTGTGATCATGATTTTTGAGAACACAAAAATCAAACTGTTAAGTGCCAGAAATAGGTTGAAGCTGGGACATATGCTCCTTTTAATACTATGTGCTTAATTTTAATATTTATTTGTGAGAGTCTAGGTAGGTCAATGTGCAACATAATGAGTGTAATACATCTTTTACAAGGCAGATGAGAAAAGATTCTCAAACAAGACGCTTTGAACGTGCTGTGGTGAGTACAGGATAGATGGGCAAGAAATCACGGAGTCGTGAGAGATCTTGCAACCCTGTACTTGAGGGAATTTAGCCCTAAACCTGGGTCAAACAAACCCTGCAAGCTATGTGCATCCTAACTCCTGAGGCTAGAGGGGATGTGCATTCAAAACACGGTGTGTTTGAAGGCTTTCCAGGTGCCTCTCTGCCTATATGAGAAGGCAGGGCATGCAGGCAGGTGACTTATCACAGCTGTGCCCGGGTTTGACTCCCACTGGGATTCTGCAAATGCATTTGTCATTTTTCTTAGTTTCTTCTCCCAGCCTGTGTTACCTGTTTTTCACCAAGGTCCCGGAAAGCCACCGTTTTGCTCAGAGGTCCTCTCATGAGCCCAACAGCACGCTGTCTTCCCTGAACAGGCTGATCTTGTCTCTTGGTCTTTTCATCAGTGGCCACTCAAAGCATTGGCACTGGCAGGAGCATCACGCTGCAGCAGTAGCTGGTGCAAGCAGTGTTCAGAATAGAGAAATCGAGCCCTCGGTCTCCCGTCCTCCAGCCTGTAACACTCGTGCATCCTCTGGGAGCTATTGCCTTCATCCCTGCCACTCGTAACTGTATCTACTGGTTGTTCTCTTTCTGTTTGCCTGATTTGATCTTCTTTTACTTCATCACTGCCTCTCGCTGTCCTTCTCCCCCACGCTCTTCCCCACGTGTGAGAATTTCTAATCAGTGCAGAGCACAGGTCCCAGGTGTGTGCTGTGCTGGGCTGCTGTGGCAATTAGCTAACGTTTGGAGTGTGCTGAGCGGCACTCTCTCCAGCATGCTATTTTAAGATGCACAGTCTTGATCACACATAAAGGTCTACCTGGCAGGAAAGGAATTGAGGCAGAGAATACAGCTGACGTTCCCTAGACAGTGAACAAATGCTGGTGTTAAATGTGCTGTTAAGGACAGGTAAGTCCATTTTCTGCAGGGAAAGAGCATTCATTAGGACAGGCAGAGACCAGTGGGAAAAATGAGATGCCCCACTGTCAGCAAGTGCCTTGATATCTTCACCTATTCAGTTTGATTAGACAAGGACCCCCCTCCTTCCAAGATGAACTGTAAGAAACCTTTCTGCTTTGTGCCACTTCCACAGAAATCATCAGGGTGATTTGCATAAATATGCAAGTGGTAATCAAACCTGGGTAGTTCAGCTGGTTTATGATACAATTTTTGTACATGCTATGCATACAAAATGAATAGATTTTCATTCTATTTAAACTGCACAAGGTCACTGAATTGAACAAGGACCGAAGTAATGGAAGGCAAATTCTCATCCCGTTTCTTGGTAAAATACCTCTCCAGGGATGTAATATTGTTACTGTAAAGGCCAGAAAGAGTGCAACAGATCTGCTGGTCCTCTAGTTACGGTCCTTTTCTTCTAGCTGCAATTTCTCTTTTACCTAGTTGAGAGCAGTAAGAGAATAAGGAAGATTTCAGCTGCTGATCAAGTTAGGAGTCTTTGCTTTCATGTATATTTCATATACCAAGACACTCCGGTAAATCTAATTTACAGGCAAGAAAGAGTCTATGAAGAATTAAGTGACTGAGATTCCTCACGTTTGATGTTTTCATTTTGTTTTCCACCTGATTCTCTGCTTGTTTTGATGGTTCAGACCAAAGATTAACACACACTGTACAAAGCTTTCCACTATTTTATAGAAAGTACATGTTGTTTTTTTGTGTGTGGCTGAGGGCTCCAGAGTTTCACAGAATGATCAGATATATAACTTTAGCCACGTCAGTTCATATATCTTTAAAATTGGGAACTAGAGATTTGATGACTTTTCTGAAGAAGTGAAGTAAATGAAGGCCAGCATAAGAACGGAACGAAAATGAGAATTTAAATATCATTCTCTTAATTACCTGACATAATCCTGCCAGTTTTGTTTTAATAAATTACTTAAGTGCCAGCTAAAAGACAGTCAATTACCTAGAAATCTGGTAATAATTAATTGAATTCTGTAAAAAACAGCCCTCACCAGTTACACAGTTAAATATTTATGACTTATGACAAGTGGTGATACGTTTTTCAAGGCAAATGATCAGATCGTACATAAAACAAATCAGGCATCTGCAGTTCAGGAAGTTTCCATTAAAGCTCAGTATTGAGGGGCTTGTGACTTCGATACTTTCCCACTTTGGGGAAGGGAGTTTTTCATCGCCTGTTTTTTCATTGCCCTTCCTGAAAATAATTCCTTTTAGATATTCCTAATTATTCTAGCTTAATATCTAAATTTGAAGAATAGATATATCAGCATACTGTCTTCTGTGATTAGCAGTGGTATCTGCTGACAAAAAAGTCCAGTAGTAAAGGCTAACACAGAGAATTAAGAGGGTACAACTCCGAATTTCAAATGTTGAGGGCCAACAATAAAGGCTTCACTGTGCAACTTGATCACATCATTCAGATGTATTCAGACAGAAAACATTTTTAATTGAAGATAAGTTTTTGTTATATTGGTTCACATAATCCGCTTTTTCCAAACAAATGACATGTTAATAAATGTTTAATAATGTACTGCAGAAATTATAAGCAGTGTTTAATAGTACCTTTTCTTGGGATTAAGGTTTTGAAAATTGTCTGCCAAGTTTTCCATTCTGATCTCATTTCTTTATACAGAAACAGCTTGTAGAAACACTAATGAATTTTTATCCTTTAAAGAAAACAGCTTACCTGCAGGAAGGCATATATCAGGATCAGCTGGTTTTTAATAGTTTAATTTGTGTTTCCATTGTGATAGAAGTATTTTGTTTTTGTCAAAACAAAAAAACCTACAACTTCCCTGGCCCAAATGGCAGGATTTTCAGTGTTGTGGATGAGGTCCTTCTCTGGCACAGCAGACTCTAGTGAGTCCCATCGTGATGGTGGGATCAACTTGGGTGCAGAGTGGTCCAGCTCCACTCCGTTCACCTCCAAAGAGGAGGCTGGCAGCAAGATGAAGGTTATTCTTCCCCAAACTGCAAGTTACTCGGATGTTTTTTTTTTACTATAGAGAAATAACACTGGAATTAAAACAAAACCAAGTGCCCTTCTTCCCAGATCCAAACATTGTTCACAGCTGTTTATTCAACAGAAGAGCTCTTCCAAACAAAGCCTTTATGTAGGGGCAGCTATCCCAACCCCAGAGCCTCCAAATATCCATGCAAATTCCCCAGGAGTGCTGCAAAGCAATGGCAACCAGGGGCACCACCAAGGACACCAGCAGCCACCTCGCAGGGCTGAGGGACAGTCACCCAAACCCCCTCAACAGATGTATGTAGCATAGGTAGAGTTAGGTTGCCACAGCTACTTCTTCAAGCAAGAATTGCTGCTGAAGCGTGTGACAGCCTGCAAGGAAGTTGGTGATGGGCTGCATTTTATTTTTATACCCTCAGCCTCATCTGTGTCCATCTTTACACCGATGAAGGAACAGCTGCTTTTAATCTCACTTTTAAATCCCGGGCCTGGTATGGCAACTTCTCAGGAGCTGTGGGTGCTATCCTTAACTGGCCAACGAGACTCAGATGCCAGCTATTATCCTACGGCAGCTATGTGTGGCATTAGCTGTGGGTCTTTTTTGCTGCTGATCTAATTTTCACAGTAGCAGTTGGGGCTTGGGAGTCAGAAATGCTGTAGTCACTTCTCTTGCTAAACATTTCGATTCACTCACTGGAGGCGTGTGGAGGGTTGTTCGGAGCTGCTTTGACACCAAAGGTTTTATTTCCAGAGACTGTCACACGGTGATACAAACTGCCAGGGGAATTTAAGCACAGATGATTAATGCATAGTAAGGTAACCCTTGGACTAGCAGAGCTGCTGTTCCTGTGGAAAGAGTGCCTTGTAATAGCTCTTTTATATAAGAGCAGTGAGACGTTCTGGCCTGGGAAGTGCCATGGTTTGAGTTCAATATTTTCCTTAAAAATGCGGAAAGTGAGGTGGGCACTGGAGGCAAAATGCAGAACAACCCACCATGGACCAGATTGAGCAGACCCACAGAGGTGAGGCTGCAGGCAGGTGGTCTGCTTTGCCTATGCATAGATCTGGTCCAGCAAAGAAAATATTCTCCATAGACATCGGCCTGTTGGCCTGCTTCTGCCTTTTGGAAGGTAAAGAGGGGAGCTTCATTTAAAGAGGCTGTAAGAACATGGAAACTGCTCTATCGTGTAGAGAGGGGAAGAGCTGAATTCAGGTGAAAAAGAATTATTTCAGTCTTCCCTGGGATGGGTAGGTAAGTACAAAAAGATGTTTCCCCTTCTTTCCACTATCTTTCACCCAAAGTTATGAATTCCTTCCTAACGCTCGCCTGCCACGTAGTTCTGTGTGGGCCAGCGGAGGCAATGCTGAGTTAAGCCAATTTCTATGGAGGATGAATGAATGCCTGGGAAAGAGACGGGTGGAAAATATAGAGCTAGCACGATACGAGAGACTGGAAAAAGGTTATTTCCTCATTTTGTCCGTTTTGTCATGAAGATAAGTTTTACAGAGGAATACACAGTCTGTGCGTATTCTTTCTGACATTGATGGATTGCATTGGGAAGACGGTCAGAAGGGATCCTTTTCCAAATACAAAATACAGAAGGGTTGGACGAAATATTTTCTGGAGGAATAGTAAAGGTGCAAGTTGACAGTGAGCCTTCAGAGCCACTGGTTTGCTGACTTAATATTCCTCTTGAAGGAAAACCAGTGTGCAGAAAGACAAACAGACATCCTTTATGTCAGTGGCTGCGGGTTGTGGTTTCCTTGGGCACAGAGATAATTCTCTTGTGCTCCCTTGTCCAGCTTTCACCCAATGAAGAATATAGCATGGTAATGTGTGTAATAGCCTGGTGACAGAAAACACTGAGAAAAGGGATTAATGATTAAAATACAAATTCTCAGTTTTATTTCTCTGTTCCTTTTTTATTTTTCCTTGTTTGTACAATGCTCTTTTTTCCTACCATATCCTTACATAGCAAAGGCTAATCTGAAAAAACTTGGTTCATCGGGCATTGCCTTTCTTTGATAAGCACGTCCTATTGGAGCTGTAGTGTTCTCTGCAGTTGCTTGATTGCTGATCTACAAAAGCTTGTAGCCAGTTGTTTCAGCTTAAACAAGGAGAAAGTTGACAGAAGGACCTTCAAGACCCTGTCCTTCTTCTGTTCCCTGGCTTGCAAGCTTGTTCTGAACTTGTAATTCCCAACGAAGCAATACTTCTTATTTTGTCTCATTACTATAATGGTTCAAGAAGGGAAAGAAATCAGAAGGGGTTGAGCTGTGTCAGTGAAGAAACACGTCCATGATCACTGAGGAACCTGTTCATTAACTCCCAGTTCAAAACAATGTTTTCATTACCCTGGTTTGCTTTTGCAGCCAGAACGAGCTTCAGAAAGATTGATCTGTTTATGTGTAACCTTAAAATGGATGTCCGAGGCATTGCTTTTTTAAATAATTGCTTTGTATTGCTGACTGATTTTCTACTAAACAGGCATGGTTACTTAAATGATACTGTGATATTCACACTTTGTCTTCTGTTCAGATCCAGGAAATTTGTCTCATGAGGATTAGAAGTGCTGCCATCTGCAATACAGACATTTCTATCAGCGGATATGACCAGGAAAACCTACTGTTTGTGAGTAATTGCTTCTAAAAATAAGCACTGTTTCTTAAAAGTGAAACGGGAGAGTGACAAGTAGCTTTAAAACAATTCTTCTAGTTAGCAGCAGAAAATAACCCACATCTGTGGCTGTGTTGTACGGCAAGCACCATGGGCACGGGGCGGGGTGCTAATCCCCTACCAGCCTTTGTCCCTCTGTCCCACATGGCACCGGGCCGTGAGTGGGAGGCCCTCAGCCCCCTCCTCTCCTCACGGGGTGGAGAGGAGCTGCAGGAGCAAGGGGCAGAAGAGTGGCACAGGCACACAAGCTGCTGAGGTGGTAAGGGAAAGGTAGCAGGGGTCAGATGGAGGGGCAGGATTAGACCCTCTCTTTATCCTGTAGGACCAATCCATGCAGGTACCGAAGCCTCTGTACTTCCTCTGAAGGGCATAGCAGACTTTCTTTCGTAAACTGCTAATCAAGGGAGTAAATCAGAGTTTATAGCCAGTAGAGTAACGTCTGACAGCTCTTCCTGTCTTTCTCTTAGCAATAGGTCTTCAGTGCTGCCAAGAGACAATTAAATTGACACCGACATCTTAATATGCTTGCTTTGATGACAGGGGTTTTGTCACTATTGTCCAGATTGCTCAACTCACACGTGTTAAAGGACACAGAGGAAAGCCATCAGTTCAGCCTCTGATCTGCACTCAGTCTACATTTTCATCTAAAATAAGCCATCCCTAGCTCACAGCACAGAAACTGATGGGAGTGAAGAAAAAGCTCCCAGAGGCAGATCAGCCATCAACAATTCGAGAGATAATTTTCCAGTGCAGTTTGGCAATGGCTGAACCCCTGCTCTCTGCTACCAGGTGGTTTTAGCTTCAGACAGGGCTGTTACCCTTGTAAATGCTGCTTGGGCAGTACTACATTAGAAAACTGCTGGCTATCCTTTCCCACAAACCCACAGGCAGCAGCAATTTTAGACCCCTCTGTTAGATCACTGATTCAATCTTTTGCACAACTGAGAGAGCAGGGACCTATGGCCAGAAGGTAGAGAGCAGAAATGGGGCAGGAACTGCTTAAAAAGATGATTAAAAGGCAAACTATTTATAAGTTGTGAAAAAAGATAATCAGTAAGTAGTCCACCATTTAACACCCTACTTCTCCTGTCTCACTTAGTCACTAAGTCTCAGTGTGACAAATGAAATCCCTCCTTTGCCGAAGTGCAAGGTTTCTTGTTTGTCACAGGGTATTAACCTGAGATTTTTTTAAAGACTCCTGTTTGGTTTTAAGGCAAGGCCAACTTTGTCTGTAAAAATTAAAGCTTTCCAAAAGGGGCACCCAAAACATCTGGCAACTTGGTTCTTCCAGATCAGAGAAACAGTCACTGCTTGCACTGAAAATACAGAAAGCATCTTTCTGTGCTTTCTGTCTTCCTGTCCCACCGGTGAGAGCTCAAGGACAGCCTGTTATCCACCCTTGGCCAGGGGTCAGCAGGGCATTTCTGGAGCCCTGTGCCTCCCAAGAGCCCTCTTATAGCTTTCTTACAGCCGACTGTGTGAGCACAATGTGTTCCCCTGCTTTCTGGGAGCAGGAAACATATTGGCCTGAAGCAATTTCCATTTTCCAAAAGTCATCCTTTTTACCTGTACACATCTCCTAGCTCCAAACTCAGAAACAAAAGAGGGGCAAGTTTTCACACTGGGACTCTGCACAAAGCAGAGGGGAGGCAGCCTCGCAGCCAGCCGAGGCACACTGCCCGTGCTTTGCTTCAGAGCACACAGCGCTGCAGCAGCTCCCTGCACAGCGTTCCCTGGGCGACTCCGCTGAACCAGGGCTGTGAACGGGCTGCAGGTGGCAGATGGCAGGCTCTGAGCCGCACACGCTTTTAAATCAGGGTAGTTTCAGACCGCTGTAATCTGGTTTGGTTCTTGTGGCTTGCCCAAGATGCAAAAGCTATAATAACAGCAGAAACCTAGGCCTGCACATCTGGAGAGCACACGCACAATACAGTACAGGAGACAGTGGGATTAATTTGTGGAAATTTAGCAGAAGAAAACTATGACCAGCTGTCAAATAGAATTTCTTTACAAAGTGATGATCTAATCAAAGAAAGTGGTAAGACACTGCTTACTCCAGGTACTCTGGGTGAAGAGAGGAACTGACTGCGTTGGCTGGACCTATTCGTCTACCCCCAAACCTCCCTGTTCTGGGGCAGCTCTTTCATAAATATTTTACACTATGCAAGCCTGCGATCTGAAGCCAGTTGTGTGGCCATTTCTGTCTCTAACAGCCTTATCCACCACAGCCCATATAAATCAGTGGGAATTATTCTCATGGAAAACTGGGGTCTTGAAACAGGCCCTTGTAATATAGCAGATAAATCAGCAGCAGTGTTGGCATTGCATAAAGGGCAGGGTGAATAATAATAGCAACAAAGAACTCCCAGCATCCAGAAAGCGCCGCAGAGGTCAGGCTCTGCCATGAAGGCAGTTGTTCAGGAGAGATTTAGATGTTTTGAAGGAAAGTGCAGCAGGACAGTCATGCAGGGAGCTACTAAAAGGCTCTGTTTCAGTCGCAGCCCCCTGGTCCGGGGTGCTGGCTGAGGATGCTGCCACAGAGCCGAGCACCTTTCCACCACTTTCCATGTAAACTATTTTTCCAAGCATGCTTTATGCAGGTCCTGTAGTCCACAGCCCTGCTGCAGGTGACTCAGTCCATACTGGTAGGCTGTGAAAACCACAGCCTGCTCATACACAGCCTCTTAAAGGGTGCCTCCAGCAGCCTGCCCTCTGCCCAGCTCTCGCTCCACTCTCCAGCAGCCATCTCAGCCTTTAGCAGCTGGGTGAGCGCCTCCGTTTCCTATGGAAATTCAGTCAGAAATTGGAAGTTGGAGCTGGAAGTTGCCACCATCCAGCTTTACCCTCACACTCCATAATCCTGTGGCAGTGATTTGCCAGAACTTTCCTTTATTCCAGCCTTTACTCCAGCCTTTCCAGCAAATCCTCCCCACGTGGCTCCAGTTAAGCCCAGGTGAACACATTATCATAGTTATCTGCGCTGTGCACTGGCTCTTCAGAGTCTGAACAGACTGCAATGTTCTCAACCGTGGCTTTCTTCAATGGATTATTTTTGAATTTCTTCAACAAATAATTCCTGGTCTGTACCCTGACTCACTGAGTGCTGTACCTCTCTTAAGTAATGCATGCTAATGATCATCTGTTCTGCATTTTATGTCTAGTAGTGGTACAAGATGAAAGCCCAGTATTGCCTATTATACTGGGGCTACAGATATATATATATATAAAAAAAAACCACCCTGCAAGATGACATCTGTTGTAGCCAAAGTTCATATATTCCTTCATGAAAATTCAACTACATTACAAAAAAAAAAAAAAAAAAAAAAAAAAAAAAAAAGAAGGATTTGCAGTAGATGGAGAATGATTCATGCTTAAATATACAGCAGAATGCCACTCAAAATCCTCTCTTTTCCCCAGTCCTTGCTGTTTTGTGGGCCCAGCCCATGAGGAACCATGATCAATGCTAACAAATGTACATTTTCTCACCTTGCCCTTCAGCATTTCATCAGAGATAACACTAAAATCTGGTGCTCTTTTGACATCACACAAATAGCATTTTCTGTCTTCTCTCTCACAGACTGTTTTATCTTTCACTGCTCAGCAAATCTTCACATGAAGCTGAATGTTTAGCTGCAAAAAATGAAGTGTATGGAGGAGATGCATGAATACAGAAAGTAGCAGGACTGTCACTGAATGGTCTTTTTTTGGGAGAAATTGGCCCCATTTTCAGTGGGCGAACAGCTGCCTCCCAGCTGAGATTTATCAGCTAAAGACAAGGCAACACAAATGTAGCAACAGAGAGAGCTGTGAAAACGGGAGGGCTGTTTCTGGCCGCGTCCTGCAAGCGACTGGGCATTTATGTCCTGGACGAGGATGCCCAGGTCTGTGCTCCCAGCAGCATCCCCTGCTGGGGAAGGATGACACTGCTGAGTGCCAGCTAGCGAAAGAAACCAGAGCTGAAGCCCTGAGACAAGTCCCCAGATTGATATCTGGCACAGCCTTCTGTATCCCTGAGCTACAGAAGTAGGTCATAAATTTATGTAAGAGATGTAGCACTTCTACCCAGGTAGCATGTGCTCCTTGGGCACTCCCTGATTTACGGCTGCTGGGCACAAATATTTTCCCATTGCTCTTGGTCTCTGTGGTCCCTCAGTGCCGTGGCTAACACCCAAAGCCAGCCTGGGTCTCCTGCTCCACCTGTGCAACGCCATGTGCTGAAGCAGGAAAAATGTGGACTGAGGGACTGTTTTTCCTAATTATTGCAGCTTTCACGTACCTGTGAGTTTCATGACAGGGCTGGATCTTCAGGGGGGACGCCTGAGCAGGGCAGGGATCCCATAAAGCTCTAGCAAGGACCACAGCGGTGAGGAAGGACACGCTGCACCACCGCGTACATCGTGCCCTGCAAGGGAACCCGCATGCCAGCCAGGAACCTACTGAAGACTACTTTGAAGTTAAGTCCTGTGGGTTTTTTTGTCCTTCTTTCATGTCTCAGGATGATCTCAATCCTAAGGTGATTCTCAGTGGGAATGAAAATTTTATTTACAAAAATTCCTTGCAAAAAAGTGCCAATTAAGTGCCAGCAATTTCTGTAATGCTCACTACAATCACGGCACTGATTAAAACCAAGAACTACCCCTGTAGATACATGGAGAAAATCATTCCTGGCCTCTCACAAATTGCAATTTAGTGAGCTGGCAAAATACCAAGTGCCCAGCTCATACCCGGCCAATAAAAGCACCGGAACACTTTTCCATGTATTTCTCTGCTCAGGCTTTGTGTTAATGGAACAGGACATTCCAATAACCTTTTAAAAGGTTAGACTAATTCAGTTGTTTGGGTTTGCGAGAGCCAAGCTGTGTTAGTCCAGTTGTTGGGTAATAAGCCGAGGGAGGCAGGGCAATGTTTTAAGGTGTTTTCATGAAATAGTTGGTATAAAAGAACAGGTGAGCTGACCAGTGGGGAATTTGACTTGCTAACGGGACCAAGGGGACAGGCAGCTGCAAGGTTTTTGTCTCTCCTCAGCATCACCAGTCCCTGAGCCTGGCCGCACCTGCGCAGCACTGGTACTATCATCCTGGGATGAGAGGGATGCATGGGGATGAATAATTCAGCTGCAAATCAGCTCTCCAACTGCACAGCTTTTTCTTTTCTTTCTTTTTTTTTTTTTCCCTGCGTTTCTATTTTTAATTTAGATACTCCCACATGTGTTTTTGGTAGATTAGAGACATGAGAAATCAGAGAAGAAGGCTGATGCAGACAGGTAACGGAGCCTGGGGGTGGTGGAGGTTGGACCGACGCTGGCCTGGAGCAGGGCTGGGGCAGCCCTCCTGCCAAGGGCAGCACGGGGCTGCTGGCACGGTCCTGCGAGGGGACGAGCACCCCACGTCCTTTTTACTTCAGTGGGAGGTGAAAGTGCTCAGCATCACTTGGATTTAGATCCCTATGTCAGCAGTTAGAAAGAAGCAGTGGTCAGTGGAGGTGCTCTACCACGGGATGGACTTCAGGGAAACTGTGTTCAGTTTTGAGGTCTGCTCTGCATCTCTTCTATGCAAATCTTGTAAATCCTCTGTCTTGTAGTTCCAAATTTGTTTTTGAGAAAACCACTACCGCTGCTTCTTTTGGTCTTCCTTGTCTAGCTGTAATCTCTAGGGAAGAAACCATCACTGCTTGTTTATAGCTATAGATTATTCATGGGGGAGCCTCTTATGCTGCATGGTAGCATCTTCCTATGACATGTTTTAATCATGAAGATCAAAAAGAGACAGTCGGCAGAAAGGTTTCAGAGAATAAAAGTTTTCAGTGCTGCAGCTTAGTGAGGTGGTGAGGGACTACAGGAAACAATGGGGAGGAAAAGCTGCCAATTTGGGCAAAAGCAAAATTATCATTCCATGTTCGTCTTTGTGGAACTGAGATTTCCAGAAGAGACTGGCTGGCATTTTCAGTTGTACACTAGTTCCTGAAGATTATAAAACCAAAGATCAAAGCATAAGGGAAATGCTGTCATGGCTGAGAATCTTTTTCTTTTGCTGCGTATACAGAATTTTCCAATAAATTACTGCAGATGAGTCCTAATACTGGTAATAACTGTTTTTACAAAGTCTAGACTGCTCTTGCAAATTCGTGGCTGGAAAAGGTATTGGTGTGTTGCTGTGGACTCAAGGAAAGCCTTGAAATAGAGAGTAGTTTGCTCTCTTCTTGTCAAGTCTCAGTTCTAAGTCATGGGATATGGGGAGTGTCTTAAAAATGAGGTAAAAGGGAAGCAAGTATTTGAAACCCAAAAGTGGAGGATCTAATGTGAGATCATCCAGAAGTCTACTGCCATGGCAGTGGAAAGCATCTAGATTTCCTGAGGCACTGTGTCCTGTGCTACACTTCCTCAGCATCTAAATAAAAGGCTATATGTAAAAAACAAACAACAAACACTATTTCTTGATCTTTGTGAACAAGAAAAACAGAAAACCCTGGATTAACTGCTAAACTCATTGCTAAACTGCTTGATTTCAGGTAAGGAAAGCCTGCTGCTGCTCCCACATTTTAGGGAGAAAGAAGGGAAACAGAAAGGAAATCTGTAATGATGAGGAAGCCAACATCCTTCACAACTGAAATTTCAGGACTAATTGCTCACAAAGCTTGATGATCAGTTTTAACTCCATGATATTCAGGAACAAGAAGCACCATTACTCTCAGTTCAGTAGGTAGGTCACTAATCAACCAGCTAAATGTCCAAAAACCTCCATTTATCAGGTACCTTTGGCTTCCTTACTTCGAAGAAACGGAGTGCCAACAGGTGCATGCCACAGGGTGGCTTCTCACAGCAACATTTTACAAAGAGTAGCTGCAATCTTAAAATACAAAACAACCTGCCAGACATACAAAGGTTTCTCTTTCCTTCCTAAAACATGAATTTTATCTCCAAATACTACACTTGCCTGCAGCCCCCAAACAGCAAGTTTACAGAAGTGAAGCGGAGTCTGGCTTGAGATAGGGAATCCTTGGAGGCACTAAAGCAGGAATGGATTGCTTTATATCATTAGAAAGCCAAGGCTGTCTACTTTCCTAAGGGATATAAAGCATTCAGTGTGCATCTGGTATTTCAGAAGATACTGAGCCACAGCACTGCCCCAGAATAATCTTTTGCATATGCATTGCAGGCCATTTTAGAGCTTCTAAACTTTTATCAAAAATTGAATTAATTTTCTTCTCTCTAATGGCATGTCTAAAGGCATGTTGGAGACATCCTACACACCTTTTTACCCACCTGTTTCTCCATCACTCCCTTCATATTTAAAGAAAGACAGGCACTAAAAATCCTGGACAGTCCTTAAGAAATCTTCTGAGTATCCCATTAGTGTAAAAGCAGTGCTAATGTGCACTGGGGATTCTAGGTGTCAAGCTACCTTCTACTTTTAATTCATTCAGTGGGATTCTATACATTAAAGAGTAGAAAACAACATTAAAATTAAACAAAAATTAAGAATTAACTAAGGTAACAATATAAGTACTGGACTTGCAAAAAACATCAAAACTAAACATTATGCACACTCCCTAGACTTAGGAATGTTAGGAAATACTATGGCCAAAATAAATAAAAGAACACCTTTAGAAGTAAGAAGACTCAAAAGTAGGAATCTGCTTGTATGGGCTGTATATACAGAGTACCCAAATGATATCTTGGCATTTTGTTCTCTTCATGCAAACATTTTTTTTACAAGTTCAGGCTGAAACAAAAGAAGCTTGATTTGACTACTGAAGCAACCCTGAACTCCCCACATGGGACACAAAGACAAGAAACCTTGACAGGTCACCTCAGCATCACTGTGGGTCTGCATAGCTAGAAGCAAAACTTGCCTTGAATTCCAGAATATAATTTGGCATTGTTGAGTTTATTTATGGCAACAGAATCTAAAATGAGCCTTACTCTCCAAAGAGACACCCTCAACTGTTAAAAAATTGCAGTCAGGTAAATAGCCTTTCATTGGGGAAATACAACTACTTAACATTTAAACTATATTTTCTTTTTTTATACATATAGCATAAAAATATTGATCATCTATTTAACAGCAATATACTCCATTTTCCTATATAGTTTTTGTGACATCTGTATTTTTTCTGACGTTCTTTATTTCCAGCTACAAGGAGAAAATGAGTGGCAGGTTTTATAGCATCAAATCCTGAAAATGCTCAGTTAATTGGTATTTAGGAATTGCAATCCAGAGCAGTTAATCCTTTCATTAGTTTTCTTATCATTGGGAAGCACAAAAATTTCTGTCTAGTACCAATGGATTTGAATTTTATATGTAAGATTGCTAACAACCATGATCATTCTATGGAGTGGACTTAATATCTCCATAGTCTACATGGCATTAAAATATATCTGTTTGATAATAACACCAATAAGGTAATAAAAATGGCAAAATAAATAAATAAAAAGGACTAAAGTTAAATCATAGATGATCATTAGGAAAGACTGTCAGACTTCAAACAGCATCCACAATACTTATACCAACCCTTTTTTGTTTCCTTTGCAAAATAAATTAAATTAAAAATTCCTTTAACAGGACTCAGAGCTCCAAACAGTGCTAATGAAAAATAAGGTATCATGAGACTGAAGAGGATCATAATAGCATCATAACTTTTCCAGCTGTAATATCTGCAATATTCTAAAGTGGTACAATATTCTCTTTGCTGGACTGTGAGATTGGGAGCTGTCATCCTCTCTCCCCTACGTACACCATCCCTGACAAAATGGTTTGCTGGGTTCAGTATCTAAGTGTTCTTGTGCTCGTCCTGCTTGGGCTCTCCCGGCTAAATCGTCTTCACAATCCCCAGACCTGGGATCCCTGTGGCTTTCAAGCTTCAGGCGTTGGAGCAGTTGCAGACTACACCGCTGATCCAAACCCCTTCTGGGACCTGGGGCTCCGAGACCAGCATTTGTTTCCCCATTCTGCTTTGTGATTGGGCTGAGTCTGACTTCTGGCAGCTGGCTATTAGCAACTTCACTCCTCCTAGCACTTTCTCATTTTTCATCTCTTGTTTTTATTGATGATGGAGTCCTTATTGTGTGAGTGAAGTGTGGCGCACAGACTTGCACAAAGCATCACACCATTTGTCATGAAATACGAGGCTGTTTTTATGCACTGCTGGCTTTTCTGCAGACTCTCCTCCCCACACAGGCATGACGGGAAGCAGCAGACTGGTAAAGGATCACACAACAATAATTTTAAAATGCAGAGATGTCCTGCAGCCATCTTTACAACAGCCCACATGCCCAGAGGACACAGCTGAACCAAGTGTTCACAAAAGCTATCCTCATGAGAGACTTGCTCTGTTCTTTGGTTACTCTGCATTGCCACTGGATGAGCCTTGCCTCTTAGCGAAAAGCTTTCCTCAGCTAAAACAGGTCCTAGCAAAAACTGCCCCTAATCCCATGCCCAGGGTGTGCTCCAGAGGGCCCTGGGTGGGGTTCCTCCCAAGTACAGCTCCTCACGGGCCCAGGGAGAAAGTGACCCACCCAATTTGGCTACCTGAGCTATAAAATGGGCAAAGTGTGCTGCCACAACCAGTGCTAACTCCCTGTCCATGACCATTGTTCCTGTGCTTAGGACATTTTTGCATGAATTAATTGTTTTTTTAAGTCTATGAGGAATGAATCAAAGTGTATACCTTGCTGAAACTGCATATCGTTTGTTTGAATCTGCTTTTTGGGACAGGAAGGCATGGAATATCCTCTCCTTCCCATCTCTAGCAGGTCATTTCACTATGAGGGAAGAATGCTGAATGAGCTTATCCCGTATATCTGGTATACCTGCAAGCCACACAAAGCAGTTTTGATGAAAAACGTGCAAAAGAACCTCCCCCTCTGCCAGAAGTTACGTTTTCTTTTTTATTGAAGTATAATGATATTTGGGGGGTGGGGTAGACGTAAATGATTTAGAGAAGTGTTAGCTTTGAGTTACACCTGTCAGACCTTCAGCTTCCCCACTGTACTGTAGGATTTATAGCACAGCTGTATCTGCCTTGCTTTGTGACTCAAAGTTAATGTCTAAAGAGCAATGCTCCCATCTTAAACGTTACTTCAGAAGGTAATTCAGATTTTCTTCAGGAAATAAGGACTTGAGTGACTAATTACAGTACTTCAGGGGGCCAGATCCTGGCTTTCCACAGAGATCACGTCACATCACCTTTCCTGTTAACGGGTTGAATTTTGTCCTAAAAGTTCCCAGAGTTATTGGAAGAGGGAGGTTTCCTCTCTAGGGGAAACTTGTTACATGACCTCTTTGCTGCAATACTGAGAACCTCGTGTTGCTTTCCAGCCTAACTGTAATACGTCTATTTTTTTTCCCCCTTATTATTATTCTTTTCCTTAAATAGCTCTTTGTTCCTGGTATGAACCCAACCAACATAGTCTTAGAAAGAAATCAGTATCCTACCATAGCGCTTTTTATATATATATATATATATATATATATCTCTAAGCAGCGCTTTATGTCACCTCTCATATGACACGCTTCGTGATACCTCTCTGCACTTGTTGCAGATGAACTCCTATTTCTTACAGGTGACAGGACTTGTATGCTGTGCTGCAGAAATGCATTCATCCGTGCTTTCCATAATGAAACTTTTTCTTTCTGCTGGAAATACCTTGTCTGAAGTATGCTATGAGCACGCACACCTATGTGACAGCTTCATCCCATGGTCAATGCATAGTCATCCGGTGATCACCTGCGACACTCAGAATTCTCTCTGCCTGAGCCATCTCTCTTCTCACTTAGAGAAGAAATTCCTCATTAACCCTGAAGTGCACACCCTTACACACTGTTCTAATCAAACATTTCTTCCCATTTATGAACCTGTCAAAGTTAAAAAGGTTTTAATATATGATGGTTGCCTTCTGTATTAGCAGTGTCCCTTCATCTTCTCATTTCAATAGCACACCTACTTCATATGCCAATGTAGTTAATGGAAACATTACCAGCGCTGGTCCTAAAATTGACCCTTGGGGAACACTTGCAGTAACTTGCTTCTTGGCTCTTCTCTTTTCTTCCTTTTCCTCTGCCCTTTTCCATCAATCAGTTCTTCCCCACCTTTCATGCATGTTCTCCGTTAATCTCAATCTTTTGCTTCATTAATATTTTCCCATTTAGGAGTGTATCAAGTGCTTTACTAAGGTCCAAAGGAAATTTACCACATATTCTATTTTGGAAAATCCATTATCTCATTTAAGGAAAGCTATCAGGTTATTCTGACACCGCATTCCTCTGGTAAATCCAGGCTCCTTTCATCTCGTTTTCTGTTTAACTAGAAAGGATAATTCAATCATTCTTTCTCCTTTGGTAATTATGTTGTATGTAGAAATACAGAAGAAAAAGAAAAGAGGTGAATCACATTTAAGTCCATGTGGAGCATATTTACATCAATATACATTACATATAAAGTCCACATATATGTGTGTGTGCATATGTTCGTTATTTTTATATATGCAGACAACATAGACACATACATGTATGTATATAAAATTTCCAAGCTGCAATGAGCTTAATAGTAAAATATTAGTATTTTAACTTTTCCCTACAATAAGTACTTTTTTGCTCATTAATTTTAAGATTTTCAGATATTTTTGTCTTGTTCTACTCTAGTCATTCTTCCTGGAGCCAGCTAAAAGCTGAAAAGACAAACCCGGTGTGCAGGATGATTTTACCCAGCACTCAGATTGTTTCCTGCTGTCAAATATCATTAGAAAGTTTAAGTGCATTCTAGCTGTTGGATAATTGCTATGATGAAGTTTGGCCGTCACTGTAAAAAGCAGTTTCAACAGTCACATGGAAAATGTCCATTCACCACCTATTTTAAACATGAGGGTCTGGCCCTTAATGAAAGAAACATCACTGCATGACAAGCTTCCTTAATGCATCTTTACTTGTTCTTTTCCATTTGTACTTTATTTATTTATTTGTACTTTTCAAGTACAAACTTTTATAATACACAAATTCACTGTGAAAGAGGGTGATGGGGGCTCGGACAACCTAACAGTTTCCCTGCCACCAAAAGGGACAGGATTCATCATCTTCCCCAAGTGCATCCTCTCTCCTGCCCCGCTTGCTGGACAATCCCTGGCTTTGTGCTGGCTGTGGCACCCACTGAACCCTTTGCTGAACCAGCTCACCTTCCTGCTGGGACAGGCAACCAGCTCCTTCCTTTGCTACTCTACTCTTCACCCAGTTTCCAAAATTCACACTCGTATATAATAAAGAGAGGGAACATTCCCAGATGCATTTGAGTCATGGATAACTTAGTGACAATGGATCACCACAAGCAGAGTCCACCAATTCACTAAGACAGGGATCTCAGCCCCATGACTGTAAATTCAAAACCTTAATGGTCTTAAATCAGTTTTTTTTTTCAGATAAAAGGTAAGAAACATAGAGCTCTGAATGCTGCAAAGGTGTAATTTTGGTCACCACTGTGTATAATGAGCTCTGAAAAACAACAAAATTGTGCTAGTGCATTAGAAGATGGCCAAGATGAAAAAGCAGCATGGATTACTTTGCTTGAAAACTGGATTGTTGATGAAGGGCAAAACAGCAAGTGTATTGATTTTGCGAACTTCTCTCCACCTACGTGCACACACCCACTTGCAAACTTTAGTCCGAATCAGTAAGAATCTGTCACAGACTGCTCTGAACATTGGGGATGTGCATTTGGGGTTAAATGTAGACACCCACTGCAATATAGGTGCTGCACAAAATCCTCTGGGAATGACCCAGATCCACATCCCAGCTCCCTGCTCAGGGGCCAACGTCACCCTGTTAAAACAACGCTGGCAAATATGATTCCACCGAGCCTTGATCTTGCACATTTTCAAAATCCTCCTGTGTCACTCAGTGGCTGAATGAGTGGCACTCAGACAGGTCCAGGTTCCCAAGCACAGCCCCCTGGATGAGAGGAGGGCATTTAGTTACTATTCAACACATCCATTTTTCCATTGACACATTCTGTAAGTTCTTCATCTTGCAAAATTGATAGATGATGAGCCTGTGTTGACTTAAATGCTTCGGATTACAAGAACCTCCTCCATCATCAAGGCCAGTCTCCTGCTAGAGCAGATGTCAACAGTATCACTTAATAAGCTTATGAACATATTAAGCTACACCCCTAGTCATATGACTGCCCTTGTCTAAATCCATTCCCTTCTGTACCAGAAGTGTAGCTCTACCTCTTCTATCTGTTTCAAGAGTTTATTCTTCCATTACCACAATCTTTGAGTGCTCTTTAAATAAAATCTATCGGAAGAAGTGAGGATCCTATTTATTTTAATGGAGTCACTCAGAATTTTTCCCATTGAGATCTGGGCTCAGATGGGGGATAGAGGTTTGAGAGGTTGTGGCTTTTTGTTTGTTTTGTTTTGTTTGTTTTGTCTTGTTTTGTTTTGTTTTAATTTAATCTATTAATTTCTTGCTTTTTTATATTCTCAAGTGCAACTCTTTACATCCCTGCAATCCAATCACCTGCAATTGTTATCTGACCTTACGCTTTAAAGCAAAATCACTAAACGCACGTATATATTAACAAAGGGGAAATGAAACTCAGAAGCAAAACCTACTCTAAAGGAGTCTAATGGAAAAAACAAAAACAAAACAAAACAAAACAAAAAAAAAACAAGCAAACTAATTACTTGAAATGAGGATGGGATTTGAAGTAAGCAGGCAATAAAAATAATTTTGTAGTCCAAATGCTGCTTTTTAATCCTCTTTCTGTAGGAGGCTGGAAAAATACTAGTAATATTTTTGATATGGAGCAAAAGAGCAATGCCAGGAAATACAAACATCAATTCTGGTAACTCTCAGCAAAGGCAAAATGATACTTGTACAGAAATCTGGGAAGCGTGTCTATTTAAGTGACAGACAACTGGGGCACTTCTGCAGATTCCTCATACAGGAACTAATGAATTATCTAACCACTAAATTATTTGCAGGCATTGTGTTGATTAACAAAAATGCCAACAAATAAGTTGCAAAGGCTATGCAAATCCAGAATGAAAGAAAACAGAATATCAGCCTTATGGAAAATAGTTTAGTATCAAATTTAGCATAAAGGCCAACACAAATTTCATTATATCACTAATTTCCCATAATGAAAGGAGACTGTTTAAACAGTTCAGATCAACAAGTAAAATCATTCTGGGGTAGGGTGGGATAACAGGAGAGAGGGGTAGGTTCCCTCTTAAGAAAAGTCTGAGAATCTCCTGTATTCAATCCATTACAATACATCCTTCTATTTGAAGGCTTCATAGTTCGGTATTTTGGCACATCTGGATACTCTTGAATATAGAAAAGTACTTGGTATAAACTCTGCTACTTCATTTATTTGACTCATTTACATAAAAATTAAAGAACAAAGCAGAGGCATAGTAGTCTCAAAGACTTCTGTAATTTTCAGTGATATCTCAAACCCTCTCTCATTTAAAAAGAGCATAAGTGCCCCTGGTCTTTTTCTCTACCCCTTTTTGTGTTAGTTACACATGCAGCAAATGAATTATCTTCCATTCACAACTTGTCCAACCTTCCATCCACCAGAACATGAAGACAGGGCACGGCAGACAGAGAAAGCTACTCAAAATAGCTTTGCTCTTCTTTCTTTCTGTGCCTGCTTCTGGCTCGTCTCAGTTTTCCTCACTTTGTTTTAATTTGTTTACAGATTCAGGCATCCTGTGTACCTTCATTTAGTCCTTGGCTACCATCCTCTCGATCAGAATCCTCACACAGCAGAATAAGCTTCTGTCAAATCCATGAGAAAGTGACACAAATTAAAGGTCAATATATTCTTGGAGTGAGGTCCCGGTAGTATCTACTGTTGACAGAAGTCATCTTCTATATATCCTGAAGTAATACACAACTGAAACCTGTGCTGAATGTCTTTTATTAGCAGCTAATCAGAGCCCTACCACTAAGTCCTCCCAGAAGGAAATAAGTAACAGAAAATGATAACATTTTGTTGTTGTTGTTTTTCTCCAGTTTACTGTTTGGAAATAGTGGGTGCCAAGTGGCGTGTATGGCCAAGACATGGCCCAAAACTGTGGTTATAAGAGAACCTCCACCTGTTTATAAGCCCCTCCAGCAGCACCTTTTTAGCAGTACACATTTCAACAGTATCACAAGGTATGTCTGACCTTGACCCAAGCCCACTTTGGGCCACTGCATAATTTGGTGAACAGAGAAGAGCCGGAGGCTCCACGTTGGCCCAACCCTTAAGTCCTCCCTAGTTGTGGCAGGACTACATTTGTGTACAGCATCCAGACAACTTCCTTGAGGGCATTTAAGATTGTGATTAATTTAGCATTCATCTAAACAGATTATCTTCAGCTTCAAGCAAATGAAATCTATAAGTAGATTGTCAGGATGAGAAAGCAATTTTTTAGTGAAATGAAAGGATTAAAAAAGTAAGACAAAGGCCTGACTACTCAATCAGCTATAATCTTGATGATGGGCCTCAGGAAATACAGGTCAATATGCTTAATGTTATATACTTTAACAGTCCAGAGATTTAAATGTATTTTAAAAAATAATAATTCTAAATTTGAGGCAGTGATTGGACTTTCAAAATGTTTTTAAGACAAGGTAATTTCCTCATATTTTACTACCTTTGTTCAGCCTGATCTCTATCGTGTTCTTTCCCCGTCTAACTATATGCACTGAGTAAAAAGGTTTTCATCTGTATGCAAGGACAGCTAATTCTTTCATGGCAAGCCCTTTTCCTTTGGAGGTGGGAACCTCTCAGGTACCTGAGATGAAACCAGCAGGGATCACAAAGTTCACAGCCCAGCATACGGATGGAAATTAAAATCAACAATGGGTCATCCTACTGGGCCAGGCAGGGGGTTTGTTCACTCATCTCTGTTTAACAGGCAGTAACCCCTGGTGGAGGGCAGGACAGACAGCTGGGGACGTGAGCTCTTGAACTGCCCCTCCTGAATCAGAAATGCTCAGGGATCAGGGATGGACTTCTCAAGTCACACGTGCTGTGTAAGCAAGCAAGGAGCCAATTTCTGAATGATCTGAGCCAGCTTCAGGAACCAAACTGATACAAGCCACTCAGATCCTATCTAGATAGGTGTAAGGAAAATCATCCTGCAATATGAAAACGTGTCCCAGCTACTCGCAAGATCTCGTTATCCTGGTGCAGGGGCTCAGTCAAGGACTACACTGCATCCATCCCCCTACATCCCAAACTAATGCCTACAGTTCTAGTGAAACTGTGGTGATTTATAAGCAGCACAAGTATCAGAGCTGCTCTCGGTTCACTTTTGTGTCTAAAAGGTTATAGTTTAAGCATACTTGACAGGTATACAAAACCAAGCGGAAAGCTTAAACTCAGTTTATTTTTAGTCATATAAGAGGCCTCTGTCTCTGGAGCACAAAAAGCTCCACCTTACCGTAGGCATTACATTGCATAAAGAGAGTGTGTTGATTTAAACTCCTCGAGAAACACAATGGTAAAAACAGTTTAAAAATGAAAAGAAGCAATGGTTGCCAGAAGCAAAAGGGAAGAATCCACAGGAAAATAAAAATAAAAATATTTCTTATTCCTTGGAGGCTATGACAAGCAACTTGTGGTAATTAAAAACAACTCTGAACTGTACAGTGTTGGCAACTGGGTAAGATGTTGTTTTCCAGCCAGAGGTAGAATTAATTACACTGCTCTAGATTGTCTTTATTGACTTCTGCTATTTTTTCCTCATTAGTCAAAAAGAACTAACAAAACAACCTATTGGCTTTATTGCTGAACCTGTCTCTAAAAAAAAAAAAACTGCAGAAGGGAAACAAAATAATTTAAAGCAATATGGTACTGATATGGTACTGAAACCTAGCACTGAACTGTACGGTCACTTTACAGTTTATCTGCATACGCTGCAGAGGTGAGCAAAATGAACGAAGCCCTATGCCATTTACACACAGATTAAATCCCTGAGAATTTATTCTTTTAATCCTCGCCACCAAACACCTGGGAGGAAGGCTGAGGGGCTCGGGCATCACCACAGCCCGGCCACCCGCCCTGTGACAGGGACCGTGCTCTTGGGCAGCTCTCGTGTCCGCACTGTGAAGGAGGCGGGCTGCTGTTTTTATAAAATGCAAAACTGAACTTAGAGCCTTTAATAACTGCCTGTCACTGCTGAAACTCATTTATTTATTATTATTTTCCCCTCAGGGGGCGCGTTCCAATCGTGGGGCCGGCGGTTACCGCGCTCGGCCCCGCCGCGGCTGCGCGGGAGGCGGCGCAGGCCCGGTGCCGCCCGCCCGCTCCCACCCCGCGCTAAGATGGCGGCGCCCAGGGCGGGAGGCGTTGGCGGCTGAGGGCGCGCGCAGGTAACCGTCCTCCGCCTCCCGCCACCTCACGGCCCTAATGGCCGCCCAACGGCTCTAACGGCCCCTCGCCCTCTCCCGCTGCTGCCTCGGGTCCCTCCCGGCTGCGAGCAGGGTCCCCCTGGGCTCCTGCCCCCCGCTGCCCTGCCCGCCCCAGCCCCTGCTTCTCCCGCAGCGGTTCACGCCGCCCGGGCTCCTTTCAGACTTCTGGAGCTTGGCATTCATGGCTTGTAACCTGCTCCTTCTGCTGGGCAGGGATGTCCGTAACTGGGGGACGAGGGCACCGTTTTTGTCCTACTCTTGTACACACGCGTGGAAAGGCAAAGCCATGTGCTACCGTATCATTTGGTTTTGTCATCCTCGGCCCTACAGGGCATAACGTGTGACTTGCAGTTCATCTGCATCTTCTGTTTGAGGGGATGTGGGAGCAGGAAAGGGACTACAGATCTGTCTCATCCTGCTGCTTAAATGAGCTTTGCTCTAAGGCTGTGTGGCCCAGGCTGCAGCTCCTTTCCCGCTTGCGTTTCCTGCTGTGACCCCACTTGTACAACAGGAGGTCACCTGGACCTGCCCAGGTGGCCTTGGTGTTGGCAGGCGGGCTCCTCTTGAGTTGTATGCAGGCAGGGGGGCTGGTCTGGGTCCTTTCTTTGTCTCTTGAATAAGTGATTCACGTGCATATGTTTTAAAATACACGTACTGTGATTCAGCAGCGCTGAAATTGGCCTACTGCAAGGAAGGAAAAAGCTCCTTTCAGTTACAAAATTGAAGTAAGAGGAAGAAGAAATAAGGAAATATTAAAAATAAGTAGAATAGGCAAGTACTAAAATGTTCTTGCTAATTTTGAGTTATGTGAATAACTATCACATCATGGAGGTGGAGAAAACTTCTGTTTAACTAAAGTGGGGACATAATTTAGGTGGAAAATTATTTTTACTGGTGTTGTTATCAAATGAGGAATATATAAATAAAACTTTTCTTACACAAAACTTCTCTACACAGAGATTTTACTGATGTAACTCGTAAGAAAAATTATGAATCAGACTGAAATAGCTGGTTCAGTAAAATAGTGAAGTATATGGGCCATAAGTTAGAAAAAAAATCCACAGAGGATAGGAAATATAGATGCAACTAAACAAGAAAGATTTTAAAAGGAAATTGGGATGAGGATGGTGGGAGAATCTCAGAATAAGTATGGTTGTTTTTGTTTTTGTTTTTAATAATATATTTCCTACTGAAGTAAATAAAATCTGGTAAAATCAGTAAGTATCTTACTGAGACCAATCACTGACTAGCAGACTATTTGATCTTTCTCCTATCTGAGTATTTTTATTTTAGAATATCCATTCTGAAGCATTATGAGGGGTTCTTTTAACTGGATTTTTAATTGAAAGAGAACTGGATCTCTTTAGAACCAGTCTTCCGTGTCTTGTTAAATCATGCAGTATAAGTTTCTCGTGTAGTTCTTGCAGGAAACCATACTGACAAGGAAGCCCTTAGCAAAAAATTCAGTTTAGAATACATAGTTGCAATCTACTAATTATAGACATCCTCCCCCATCTCTTTTCAGTGATGACAAATTCAGTAGTTTTACAGAATAATTTCATCCAACTTCCTCTTCTGCATTGTTACTAACACCCTGTTAGCCCCCTTCTTTTCAATCAACTGAGTTTCTTGAATCTTCAGTTGACTGATCCTGCTTCATGGGAGATTAAATGCAAGAATTTTATATTATTAGAAAAGAAATCTATCATAACATTTTTGTTGTATGAAAGAGCCACAGTTCACACAGCTAAAAAATAAATGCTTGTGTAATTCAAACACATGGGAATAAAATGCAAATGGTACGGAACAGCAAAGTAATCTAAATCAAACTAAAATATTTTTCATAGCTACCAGGTTTCTGTATGATCATAATAATCTCTGAATTACTGTTATATGTCGTGGACTGAACTATATATTTTTATCTTTTTCAGAACAGACATTACAGCAGTAAAAATGCAGTCGGTTTGTCAGAGAGTTGGCACCTGCTCCATGTGTTTGAATAGACAACTAAATGGCTTCCTGGGATTAATTAAATGGCGGAGAAGACTGGTTCCTGCTTGTGTCAGAACTATTTACAGTGAGACGGGGAAATGGGAGAGAAGCTATGGGTTGGAGACAAGAAAAAGAGTGGAAAATTGGTGGTTCCCAAGGATAAAGGACCAGTTCTGCAGAATTTCAGAAACCGATGTAAGCATTTTGAGAAATTTGGAAAAAATGTCTGATATTTTTGTTTCCTCAAAATGAACTTAGTTCAAAAATACATAGTACCATTAACTTATATTGATGAGATGTATATTGCATTCGAGGGGGATTTTTTTTATGTAATAGTAGATTATTAATATCAAATACTGCAATAGGTGGAAAAAATCTTAAGGAAAAATACAGTGATCAGCAAAGTATGAACTTGCAGGTTTATTGAGTCTTCAAGTAATCAGTTATCTCTTCCAATTTTTATATCACATTCAGGAATTAATTATTTGAAGTATTAAACTTTTTTTACATTCATAGCTTTTATAAGTAATTTTCTAAACAGCCTGTTCTCAGTGATTATGACCAAATCTATTAGGCTAGACAATGTGATCATTAAAATCTATGTTAAGGGAAGATGATTTTTAAATAGTATTTTCTGTTTTACAGCGTGTTAGGAATAATGGGTGAATTACAGGAAGAAAAATCCAATGCAATAAAAGATCTTAAAAACAACTGTGATCTTTGTCTCTGACTCAAATTTTTGCTTTCACGATTATGCTCACATAGCTATAACACCATTTTTTTGGCTTCTTTTGTTTGCCTGTTTGCTTGTTTGCTTTGTTCCTAAAATGTTCCCCCTTTGCAACAAAAAAGTCACTACTATCAAGCTGTCAAAGAGAGGAAAGGGGCTTGCTCGTTCTGACAAAGAAAGCTGAGATGAGAATAGTACGTATGCATGTCTAGAAGGGAGAGCATTAACTTCAGCCTTTGTCTTTTTTGTAGGTGACAATACACGTATATGTAGATACATATATCATACACATGCTAAATTCTAAATGGCATTTTAAAGTATATTTTGTTTTATCCTTACTACTGAAGCAAATTTAATACAATCTTTTATTAAGAGGCAAATTGCTTAGAGTGCCTCGGTGAAGTCTTCAGATTAATATTTGTATTAGACAAACACGACAAACATGAAAAATAGTATTTGATAAATAGGAATACAGAGTATGGTTCAAAGTAGAAAGTCTATTTTTTCCCCACTATTACTGTAAGAAAAATAATGTAGCATCTTATCAAAGTTATATCAAAGATGAATTCAATGTTAATCAAGATACGTTAGGAATAATTTTTGGGAGATACAATGTTTGATTTCCTCTTTGTAATTTTCATCAATTTATTCAGACCTAACCAAATGAAATTTTTACTTTCTTTTTTGTGTAAGATACTGCTTGTAAAATGACTTCATATCCAAGTGTACATACTGATATTTGTATTTCTGTGGATGTTTGTGCTGGTTCACTAACAAGCTCACTAACATAGCTCACTAGCAAGTGAGCTAATTTCTCAGGACGTTACTGCAGTTCAGCTGATAAAAATAAAAATTAAAAAAAATGGCCATGTGTGAGCTCCATGTTAATTGTAAATACAACACAAAATACTTATTTAAACTCTTGAGAGGATTGTTTTATCTGTTTTATTTAGTTCATTGGACAGTTTAGGAGTGCATAGGTAATCAGTTACAGCTTCTGTGGTAGGGAATGTTGATTTAAGCTGCAGTTAATGTATCTTTAATTGAGTAAAAGTTGATTAAGAATGTAATTTTCGAGTGTCATGTAAATATCAGCAAAAATTGATGAGGTGGCAGTAAGTCTGGTAAAGGATCTCTGTTTACAGGCCCAAAGAATTAGATTCTAGAAATTTTATTAAGGTTCAGTCAGTTCCAGCAGAACCTTGGTTCTCTTCATGGTATTGTGTAGTTTGTAATGTGCATGTGTTTTTGTTCAAGTGAAATGCTAACTTGTGGCTAACATTTTCTAAAAATTCCTTTCTAGAAATCAAGACCAAAATTTTATGTGCTTTCTATGTTCCCATATCCTTCTGGAAAGCTTCACATGGGCCATGTTCGTGTCTACACCATCAGTGATACAGTAGCTCGGTTCCAGAAAATGAGAGGGATGCAGGTAAGAAAAGATCTGCAGTAGAATGTTGTTGTTGTTTTTGTTTTCCTGTTTTAGTTGGTTTTGTTTGTTTGTTTGATGTTTTAATGTAATTGGTCAGGAAATTAGTGTTTTCCGAAATCAATGAAGGTGAAGGCGTGGTTGGAATACATGCTACAGATCCATAGCTGGATCTTTGAATGTTGCAGTTTGAGACTTTTTAAAAAGATGTGGTCTTCAGCGCTCACTGTTGCTCTCTGACCTTTAGAAATAATCCCAAAAGGTATGGAGGATGCCGTATCAGCTATGCGAGTCTATTAGTAGTGTGTGGCACAGTACTGGTGAGAGGTGTGGGCCATGCCATTTCTACAAAAGAAGACTGAGGAGCCAAATGCCATCTGTGTGGAAAGCTGGGGGAGAAAAAGCTGAAATGCTGTAGCTGGCAAGATAAAACTGAGAAGCCTCAGAAGTCATAGAATCATAGAATCATAGAATATCCTGAGTTGGAAGGGACCCTTAAGGATCATCAAGTCCAACTCTTGACACCGCACAGGTCTACCCAAAAGTTCAGACCATGTGACTAAGTGCACAGTCCAATCTCTTCTTAAATTCAGTCAGGCTCGGTGCAGTGACCACTTCCCTGGGGAGCCTGTTCCAGTGTGCAACCACTCTCTCTGTGAAGAACTTCCTCCTGATGTCAAGCCTAAACTTCCCCTGCTTCAGCTTAACCCCGTTCCCGCGGGTCCTGTTGCTCGTGTTAATGGAGAAAAGGTCTCCTGCCTCTCGACACCCCCTTACGAGGAAGTTGTAGACTGCGATGAGGTCTCCCCTCAGCCTCCTCTTCTCCAGGCTGAACAGGCCCAGTGCCCTCAGCCGTTCCTCGTACGTCTTCCCCTCCAGGCCTTTCACCATCTTCGTAGCCCTCCTCTGGACACTCTCCAACAGTTTCATGTCCTTTTTATACTGTGGTGCCAACCTTTCATCTCACCTGCTCCTGAGAACAGGTTGATGCCCTTTGTCAGACTCAGAGGGACATGCAGCTCCTCTGTGCCAGCTGGGAAGGGAACCCTTTACTGGAATTGCTGCAAGGCAGATGTACAAGGCCACATCATGTCGTGTGTGTGTAAATGTAGAAGTTTCTTAGTGGCCTACCCCCTTGGCTTGCCTATTTCAGCCTTGCTTACCCATACAAAACTCTGATTTCTGAGGGTACAAATCTACGAGGATATGAGGTAGGCTAAGACTAACTGCTTGCCACTTCTGTGTTCATTTCTTTCCTGGTTTGCCCCATACCTCCTTGCATTCCTTCCTCACTCCCTTCTCTCTGTGCCATAAGCAGATGAGAGCCTGGTCCCCACAGTCTACAGATGGGATCCTAATTGGTGTTTTACAGTAAAGACTGGCAGGTAAAATCTGAAGGATGCAACAAAGGTGTGGTAGGATCATGGCCTGAGTGACAAATGCATTAAGGGGAGAGAAATCATTTGAAAGGGGGAATATTTTGTTAAGAATCTGTGAAGCAGTGGGGAGGAGGAACATGGAAACAGGATACCCTATTTTGGAGCAGGGAACAAAAGGGAAGAAATATCTGTAGACGACAACCTAGGATGAGACTTGGAAATTGTCTCTAACATACAAGAAGGAGAAGCTTGATAGTAAAGGAATTGCAGCCTCAAAAGAATACAAATGAAAATGAAACAGAGAAACAAATGTTAGTTGCTGGTTGTGGTACTAAGTGCACTCTCCTTGCTACAAATGCAGAGATGTAGTGGTTCCTGTGCTTGTCACTGTACATGAGGCTCTAAAGGTGTTGTCACTGAATTATTCAGTGTGTTGCCTTTCCAAATACTATGTATTTTATGCCAGTGATGAACATACCATGCACTGAATGTATCCTGCTGTTTTGCAGAAATTTCTTATTCTTTTAAAGTTACAGGAAAGAGAAATAATTAACATACACTATTAAGGAGGAAAAGAAAAACAATTTCTGTTTTAATAGCAATCTGACCTAACTCCTCTGACTGGCTAGGATTTAGATCTCATTAAAAAAAAAGAGCCAAATAAGATCTTGAGACCTTAGAGTCTTGCTTGATGTCAAGACCACTGGCTGTGTCATTTCAGGATATGGGTAGCCTTTCATCAGCAATGGTGCAGATATCCACTAAGTTTTTGTTCAGAAAGATGAAAAGATGCTTCCTCTTGTACTAGCTGAAATAAAGTGAAAATAATTGTGTACATGCAGAAGGATGCTGTAGGTGATACCTTTTGAATATAAGGGATGTAAGCACTGTAAGTAGAAACATGTGGAGAAAATACAATGGCAAGAAAATAGCAGAGCCACTATAACAGCAGGAAAAACTTAAATTTATTAGTCATGCAAATTTCTCTATCAGTTAAATCAATATCAAGGAAAAAAAAAAGTTATAAAGACTAATTTTATCAGCTTCTAGGTGTTTTCTCTAGATGTTGTCACAGTTGTCCAATCTGTTAAAGATATCTTTATTGCGATAATTACAGGCTATGACATGATTATGTCTTACCATACACAACATTTATACACCCAATGTAAATGGTTTTCCCTCTACTTAGGGAATTACTGGAATTGTTCTGTACATAAGAAGAAAGAAAACTTCAAAATGATGCATACTAATATCTTTTTCCTAAAGTAATTTCATTGATTTTTATAGCTGGAAATTCAGTGTTAATATTGCATGTTTGAAAGTTCATGGAGTGTTTTTGTTTGTTTGTTTGTTTGTTTTCCAAAATAAAAAATCAAAGTGGGAGTGAATTTATTTCAGATATTTGAGACAAGTTTAGGATAAGATTTTTGAGTACTAATGTTGCTTAAACTTCGTTTCCATCATTTTCAAATGAAAAAAAGGCAGACTCACTGAAAACAATCTTATAAACTATATCTCCTAGGAAGTTGTGTAACTGTACTAGATGCAGTCCAGGAATATAAGAAAGCTGGAAGTTTTTTAAGCAATGAGGAATGATGAGCGGCTAACATAAAAAATACAGGCAGAATCATTCAGACTCACAGTTCCCAGAGAATGATTATGACTAAAATGTATTATATGTTGTCTAGCAAATAGAAAGGGAAAATATGAAGGAAGGAAGGTCATTTGTGCATTAGTGTATATGGTTGAGTAAGAGAATAATGCATGTTGAATAAGGTGGAAATGTGTTTTTTTTTCATATAGAATGCCTTCGTGAGAAAATTGTAAATTAGCTTCATATTGATTCAATCCAAACAGGCAAGGAATTGGCTTACCTGATGTAATAGTTAAGGAAGGGTAGACTTGAATGCCTTTGCAAAGAGATGAGAACTCCTTTAGTAAATTGGAACCATTCTTTGGAATGCATTCATGTAATCTGTTCGTGTTGGAGGTGGTTTGATGTCTTAGCTGGGAAGGGGATAAATCATTTGGATGTTGTTTTTTGTTTTTCAAAAATGAAAACATAAGTGTTTCATTTTCCTAGCAGGATAAAATTTGCTTTTCTTTCAATTAAAATATTCTAGAGAGCTAGTACTCCAGTCTGCTGGGATTTGCCAGAAAACCTGTACTTTGACAGCGTTTTATGTGGGAAAACAATGTATTTATTTTTGCTCTTTTCCCCCTCGATTTTTGATATAAATATTGCTTCAACATAAAGTCATAGATGATGGTAGTGACAAATGACACTGAAAATGGGTGATCAAACAGACTACCTAATGAGCAGCAGCCTTTCCATGCAATGCACGAAGAGCTGGTTACTTATTAAGTGGTGTGCCGGGATGGGATTTAATGCAAGTGTGACATAGACCTTGATTCTGAGTAGAATTCTGATACATTTCACTTTGTGCATTTACACATAATCTTAAACAATCTTTTTAGCAAGGTCGCAATAGGCAATCCATCTTTCAAAGTAGTGATGAGTGAATGACTGATGAGCATTGCAGTGTTTTCAGTAGGAGATGCAGGGATCTGTGTGGTGGTGCAGTACAGAGGTAATTGTGGGAGCTGTATTGATACGGGGCCAGCACATCGCGTTGTGCCAGTGAGCGATGAAGTCTGTTTTACCCGAGGATCTGAGCATTGAAGCACTTCAGTGTGCTTCTGGGGGTCCAGCACTCCTGAAATAATTGTAGGCAGGGCGTGGAAAGCAAACTCCTTCGTGCACTTGGATTCGGTAACTAACTTGTGGAGTACACCTGTTACAAGGTGACTTGCTCACATTCTAATTTACTGAAGATGAACTCTGAAGACTTGGTGTAGGAACTCTGAACAGGATAGGTTACTTAGCATGAATGCAGTGAGCCAGTAGTTTATATATTTTAATTTACAATTTCATACCTATTAATAAACCAATCTGGAGCTAAAACATGGTTTGTTTACTTGGAGTTTACGTACATATTGTGAATACAAATGCAAGAGTTCTGTAAGAACTTAATAGATTTCCTATTCAATATTTAAGAGTGCCAAGTGCAAATTACAGAGATAATCATGGTGATTTTCACCATGGCAGATATTTTCAGTCTGCCACTGAGCCAGGAAAGAGTATTTACCATTACTTTATTATGCTATCATTATCATGTCTTTGATAAATTCCAAAGTGGATAATTTGTGCCTTGCAGAGGACTGAGAATAATTCTCTTAGCAATCAGTAAACAGAGTGATTCAGTTCAATAGTTCCTATGATATCTTTTTAATAAAATTCTGAATTGAAATAGATACCACAGTGAGGCTGTCATATGAGTTGTACAGAAATGAGAATGATCATCGGACAATTCTGGCAAAATTCTTGTGCAGTACACTACAACAAGATTTCTTCATTTATACTTAAAATTCTCATGATAGATGGAATTGGAATGTTTTCAGTGAAATTTCCACAATATCCTGAAATGACCTAAAGAGCATTTTCTTTTTATCCAGAACGTCTTTTTAAAATTGGATTCATTTTCATTAATTGCTTTCCTTTTCAGCAGTGAATCCTAATATTCTTGAAACTGCAGAAGTGAATGGTATCGAAGGGAGGCAGGT